ACGGGAGTTCTTTCTAAGCTTTCTTTGATTTTTCTTTGTATGTGATTTGAACATGCTTTATGTGATGACTTAACAGGAATATTTGATGTTAACTAAATCAACATATTTCACACTAAACTTATCTGTGATTGAGGTTTACCGTGATCATCTGGTATTGTTATATAACCTCCAGTATTATCAAAATTGACTAATTGCTTACTAAGATCTGGAACATAAAAAGAAATTTTAAGTTGTCTTTTGGCAATAGAATTAATCAACTAAATTGAAAACTTGTTGCAATTTCTTTGTATTATGTAGGTCACCACTGCCATGAAGTCGCCAACACAGACGCATGAATTGCTGAATCGCATGCACGGCCAGGGTCTGAGCGCGGTCTATAGGTTTACAAGGGGGACGTGTATATACTCCACGACTATGGTGCCGATTGAGTTGACGATTACAAATACCAGTGATGTGGTTATCAAATGTATAAAAATGGGTGAAACTAAGCTGAAAGGTGACATGAAAATACATCAATTTCAAGAGATTCCATCGTTGGCTGTCGGGAAATCAGTCAATACATCTTTAGGAATTGATTTCGCGGACACAACTCAACCAGCAAACTTTGAAATCTGGTAAGTTCAAGTTGAGTCAACGTCTTTGGCTGTTGTCTTACAATGTATGTTATGTATGAATACCTAAAAACAAATAAAATTTTTGTCCCACTTATTGTGCGTTTATGAATAAAAAAGCGTTTTTTTTATATACCGTATTGCAAAGCCCTCAGCGGTTAGCATGATTACTTCACATCAGGGTTCTGGGTTTTATTCTCTGAGCCAGCATTGAAGTAAAGTGTCTGCCTTGCCTTCCAAACATGTGGAATAAGGTTTGGATGACTTTGCACATGCACAAAAAATTAGGAGACACAGCATGACTTTTCGCCTAACACACACAAAAAAAAGCAAAATCAATCAACTAAAGTTGGTTTTGTGAAAAATCACCTGACATTGTTATGTGCACTGTAGCTGTAATGACTCACTCAATATATCAAAGGTGTCATTTCCTCATTAAGGTTTCAAAGGATTCTGTTGATTTTACTAGAAACTGAAAATCAGAATTGTTGAACAACACCTGAAACAGATTTATATCAGGCATGTGTGATACTTTGGAGTTGCAACGATTAACCCTGTATGTATGATATTCAAATATCTGACTTTCATTTTAATGTTTTTAGCACTGAAACTAGGAAGTTCAACGTGACAATCAATGCACCGGGTAGGAGAA